TATATATATATATATATATATATATAATTGTATCTAAAACAAACTACTACTTACTACTTGTACTACTATTCCTACTTTGCGGTTTTTCACTAATCGTTGGGCTTCAGGGTACCGATCCCCTGCGATAAACGAGGGACTACAGTTTCTGTAAAACTGTCTGAATTATAGTCCCTTCTTAAAATATGATTTGTTGCGGTGGCCATCTTAAATTGCCCAAACTCCAAAAGTTAATCAGTTATTAAAAGTACTACTTTCTGCATGTTTTATTAAAATTTGTCCAGTGGTTCATGAGATATTTTGCTAACAGACAAGCACAAAGGCACACAAAATTGGGCAAAAACATTTTTCGTCCACCTTCGCCTTCAAGCAGCGAGCAATAACTAAACTCCCTCCACCCACACCCAGCTCCACTGGTTATGTCAGGCCTGATTTTACATCATAAAAACAAAACAGGAGAGAAAACATAAGAGCAGGGCCTTACTTTTCAGAGTGCTCTGAAAGCAGTCATAATGTGCAAACATGTATTGCCCTGAAGCACCTGGGGCCCCTGGAGGGACGGCCCTGAGGTGCGCCTCGAGTCCATTCAGTGAAGCCAGGCTGCTGTGATTCTGAACACAAACCACAACGACAGTTAGCTCGTAACATTACCAATCGCATCACGTGAAGTTACATTTACATTCCGCTACAGCCAAAGCATGACAGGATGGTGTTTCTCACCACTTCCTTCATAGAATCAGAGTCGCTCGTGAATCGAGGCTCCACCAGCAGAGCCAGCACCAGGCCGTTCACCCGGTGCATATAAAGCGTCATGGGGATCAGCGCACTCTCCTCTAGACCGTCAAAAGTGAGAGGTGGAGGGTGTCTCGTCTCAGTCTTGTGACTTTCAGCCTTCCTACAGGCTCCGCTCTCTCCCACAACTTTATCACGTGCACGTGCGTTCCCACAGGCAGCATCTCCATCTCCAGCCCCTCCGTTAACACGGGGGTCTTCTACAAACACTGAGCTCGCTCCTTGGCCGTCAGTCTGACTGACTTCATCTTCCTTATTCTGAAAATGGGGATGACAGGACTCTTCCTGCACTTCCTGCTCAGTTTCATAAGAGTTTCTCCCGTTTGAAAATGGACGCCTCAGAGTGTGAGGTGAAGGGTTGAGGGAATTGGCACTCTGTGATGAAGCTGGGCTAAACAAAGAGTCATCTGATTCGGACATGTGAGGACTGAAAGATAGCTTCTGGGGAGACTGGAGTGGAGCTGGACGAGACGTCTCCGACTCCGTGGAGGGTGTGTCTGATAACGTTCTGGAGAGGCGAGTCTTCTTTGGGGGATCATCTTTTTGTGCAGAGGACTGAGAGCTGAAGGGTGGAAAACATCAGAGTGGATCAGAAGAAGCAAATCAAAGTCCGTTCCGGCAACAAAAGTAATTCAGTTTCAGAGAGCGATACCTTACCTGAGGTCTTTGTTGACAGGAGCAGACTGCAGGTACTGAAGTTCAAAAGTAGTCAGGAACACAGTGGTGGAGCAGACAGCGCCGCCCAGTGGGCTGGGGGTGCTCGCCTCATTAGACCTCTGGGACTGCAAATAAAATATTAAAATAACATAAAACAGCAGTTTGTTTTAATAAAGTAATAGTTTGGCAATCTAACTGCTTATTATCCAGAGGTCAAATGAAAATAACACAAACGTGAGGCCGTCCTGTATTTAATAATAATAATAATGTCATCACTGTATGTTTCCATACAATGGCGAAATTAGTCTCTGCATTTAACCCATCCACCATCAGGTGATGCAGTGGGTGGCTATTGGGGGGGGGGGGGGGGGGGTTTTGGGGATAGGGTGTGCTGCCCAGAGACACCACAAGGTATGCAATAACCAGGGATCGAACCTGGGACTTTCGGGTCCCGAGCCGGCTGCCCTGCCTCTACACCGTTACATTTAAACATCTGTTGGTAAAGAGAGCTTTGAAAGTGTAAATCACCATAGCAACATCAATCTGGTTTCAGGAAACAACACAGCACAACGACTGCTTCGCAGAAGGTTTTTAACGATGTCGTTGAAGCACTGGACGCTAAGGATTATTGTGTTGCACTTTACTTAGACCTGTCTAAAGCTTTTGACACTGGATCATAACATCTTGTGTCATAAGCTTTCAGACATTGGTTTCTTAGACCACACTATTGGTTCGTTCTCTAACTATCTCTCAGATCGGAGAAAACGTGTTCAACATAATGGTACTTCTTCCAATTATTTAACGGTTAACAATGGTGTACCACAAGGCTCCGTCCTAGGACCCACCCTCTTCACAATCTACATAAGTAACGTATTCTCACAAACATACATCTCATACATCTCCTCCTACATGTCTCTGCGTGAGTGCAGCTACAGCGTGCGCTCTCAGGACATTATTATCTGCAGTGTCCCCTCAGTGCAGACTGAGCTAGGAAAAAGGGCCTTCTCCTACTCCACTCCTGTTTCCTGGAATATCTTACAAATAGATCTGAAGCTCTCAACTATAACCTCTCTAAGGGACTTTAAACATCTGCTAAGTTCCTGGCAAAACCAACGCAGACATGTTCCTGTTTTTAGTATTTTACATCGCTTTAAAATCTATCTGTTTTTGTTTAGTTTTTTTTTAAACACCATTTTCTTTCATTTATTCTTCTCAGTTTATATGCTTTCTTTTATGATTGTCTACTCTCGTCATCATTCTTTATTTAAAACTCTTGTAAATGAGTCCCGAGGCTCAGTGAGACTAACCTGAATAAAGGTTGAATGAAAAAAAAAAACCTCTGGATATGATGAGCTGTGAGCAGAGAACTCAAACACAGAGATGTTTGCTGCAAACCATACATGTCTAATGAGGGAGGAAATAGACGAGGCTGTCAGGCACGGTGGTGGAGGTGTTATAATGAGGCTTCACTGCCTCCAAGTTTGGGCATCTTGAAAAACACTGAATTAACTTAAACCATATTTAACGAGTGATGTAAATGTAAATTCTCCTGTTTAAGAATCAATGAACTAAATGAGGAATTTTGATTAAAAAAAAAGATGTAAACATTTATGACAGAGTCAAGTTAAAGTCTGAATCCAAATAAAGTGTTGTTGTTAAGTTTCTGCAGGATGAATGAATTTTAGATGTGTCTAAATATCTACAGGCAGGCTGACGGAGAGGAAAATGTTCTTTCTTACCTTTGTGTACATTTCACTTTCGTGCACCATGACCTTCATGGTGAGCTGAGGAGACATCTGTGAGCTGACAACTCTTTAAGAAGAAAAGAAGTCAGATTTCAGAACCTGCTATGAAAGAAAATATAAATATGTAGCTGAATGTATAATGTCAGCTCACCTTCCTCTGAAAAGAATACAGCCTACGAGCACCAGAGGGCATCGCTGACACGCCTGCAGAATGAGGGCAGCTTTCAGGAAGAGAAGTGGGTCGACCTGGAAACACCCAGAACTGTTACGCTTCAGCTCGTGTGGGGAAAAAAAATTGTCCGCTTTTAGGATTATAACTTAATCAGATTAACTGTTGCCACAAGACAGTTTATCAGATAAACGTTTCAGTTTGTGTCACCTAAAAGCAACAAAATGGCGCCAAAGGCAATGACTTTTATTTTACTGTAATATGAAGTAAAAAAGTATAAATAACTGGAAGCTTTGCAAAATATTTACAGTAAATCCAAGATGGATCTGAAGATTAAACGTCCAACTAATTGGCAACATCTAATGCTGAAACAGATCAATGTAACTGGACGCTGTCCAACGCTTTTATTTGCTGAATCCTACCATCACCGACTCTGAGCCTTTGCAAACTGCTTAACTATTTTCAGTCTTTCACATAAAACAACTTTTTCAGTCCTTTAAAAGTTGTTGCTGGGAGAAAAAAAAAAATCAAATTTCTCTTATAATTAGAAAAAAAACCCATTAAATATGACTGTTCTGTGTCGTATTTTTAATTAAATGTCATCTGCAAGTCATTGAACCCTGTTTCTCGTGCAGAACACTGACGGAAATAAGAAACACCCTCTGTCAGTCTGACAACGTTCCAACTTCCATTTTGTTGTGTGGCTGCATTTAAGTGCAAGAAAGGTCACTACCAAAAATTGGATTGCAGTGTCAAAATTCAAGATGGCGACCACCACACTATCCATCCGTCTACATATTTATATACAGTATGTATTTATCGACCTGCTCGATCATTTGGCGAATCTATGCTCTACAGTTTTTCTATTGCTTAAAAGGTGGGGTGGTCCAAGATGGATCTATGGTGGTCAAGGCCACCAGTGGCTCCTCCGTTGCGTCTGCTGGTGGATAAAATTGTTACCTCAGCTCGCCAGGATCAGCCACTCTGCACCGCCTCAGACAAAACAAAATAAACTTATTAAAACACCTACCTCTGAGCTCATGATCAGTGTAACACTTGAATATCTTGAACCAAACACATTCAAGTTTACTCACATTCCCTGTTCAATTCTAGTCCAGAGAAACACTAGTCTTGAAAACTACATTCACTACAAGTCCCTCAGGGATGGGGGACATTGTACTGTTTATTAACACCATTTATTAACACTATTTTAAGCCTCAATAAGTGAGATCATGAGCATACATTTTGGCTTTTTGTCGAGTCATGCTGAGCAACAACCCAGAGCATCATGACCGAGTCACATCCTGCCTCCTGTGCAGCAGCAGCGCAACGAGCCGAGCGCAGAACAGGGACAGTGTTCTGTACATACGTTTGTGGAGTCTATGGTCCTCAAACATCTGAAGATGTAGCACAGCTCTGAGGGTCCCGACTGCACGTGTGAGAGGTAGCGTGCCCACCGAGCTGCCAAACTTTCCTTACTGTTGAGCTGCAGCACAAAGAAAATACAAGTTCATATTAGAAATTAAAAACAGGTCTCTCTTGTAAATGAGTCCTCATGGCTCAGTGAGACTAACCTGTACAAATAAAAGTTGAATGAAAGAAAGGAAACACTAGCGAGTACAACATGTCGTTTCAGAACTGCTCTACAGAACTTTAAATTCAATTTTGATCCGGTGAAAATTTGCTGACTGTACTGCAACGTTTCTTCTTTTAATAGAGAGCTTTGTTGTCGTCGTTTTCCTTTCCCTGTCCCTCTGCAGGAGTCGCCACAACGAGCAAACTGGTGTGAAGGATTTGTCAGCTTACACCAGGAATCCTTTTTGACCTGGGCTCAAACCTGCAGCCTCAGAATCATGAGGCCTCAGCACTGACCACCAAGCTGCTGAACACCCGTGTTAAAACGCTGACGCCAAATTCATTTTAACACCTCACATTGTTACTGCCAGCCTCTGAAGGTAAAAAATATGTTTTTGAATGACTGTATGTTCATGTTTGTTGTGTTAGCAAAATACCTCGTAAAACACAGGATATATTTAAATGACACTCAGAATATAATCATTTGATGAACATCTATCTTCAGTGAGTTTTTGGAGTAAATCCAGTAAAACATGGCTGCTGCAGCTACGTGACCTTAGCCAACATAACAATTCTGTAACTCAGGTCATTTCACAGAGACTGAGTGAACATTTGTAGTGGTAGTAGCTGAGAGTGGTTTACAAGTTGTACTCTACAGTGAGCAGCTTCTGTACGCTGCTTTTTATAGTTGACTGTGTTAGGATGTTGATAGGCCTCTTCCATTAAAAAAAAAAAATGTCTGGAGTGCAAAACCCAGTAATCACCTGATAGCTCTGACAAACGGAGCCGTTATAGAAACAGAAAATGTTGATGAGATGATCCAGGAGCTCGCAGACACTGACAGTAGGGACATTCATGGAGCAGCCCAGAGCCTTGAATAACAATAAAGTAAAAAAAACACTCAGCAGTAGTGTAACAATCATCTTCTGGGAGGAATGGATGTGAGACAAAGCCTGAAAGGGTCTAAGTGTTGCTAAGAGGCCCACCAGTCCACTCACCCAGAAGAAGTCCTTCTTCGTGCGGACGGCGAACTTGCAGCGCTTCAGCGTGAGCGTGTGCACAGGTGAGGAGGACAGCTCCGACACACAGCGGGCCACACCTGCCAGCTGACCACACAGCAGCTCCTGCTTATCTAAAGGGGTCTGACACAAACCGTGACGATCAGATTGACTTATCGCACGCCACCGAAAGGAGGAGAATGTGAAATTATGGATTATTTTACAGGTTTGATCAAAACTAATTCAGCTGTCATTTCTCAACAAAAGCTCTTAGTTTAAAACTCTTTATGAAAGGCGGCGGGTGATATGCATTCCTTCAAGGATTGCTAGGCCTGTTCCAGCCTTGGGGCTCATCCCCATCAGTCAGTGTTGCCAGATTGGGCGGTTTACATTCTGAATTTGTGGGTACAAACTGCTTTGGGCGGATTTTGAGTTAACCTATTAAAACACATTTCAACTAATCATTCATTACTGGTTCATAGTAAAGCTCCCCTGAACGTTCTCCATCACTGACTGGCTGTTTTCATCTGCCAGGGCGTTCACCACTGGTACGCCGGAGCATCCGCCATATTGAATGTGGCAGAACTAAAACAAGGAAACGGTCTGAACTTCATAAAGCACCGTTCTACAAAGTGTTTTATGTTAATCCCCGTCATTCACTCACACTAATATACTTTGAAAATAAACAGGCACCAAAGTCAACATTTGCAACTTTTAACGTGATTATTAAAAATGTTTACTCCTTAAATATTTAAGTTATAGGTAAGAACTAAACCAACATGTGTATTATTTTGAGTTTTTACAACTACTAACGTGTGCAACAGTATTACTGTGGTGATAAATATAGAAATATTCATATTTAACATTTAATCTGTGTCTATAATAACCAGAACCTGAAATATGACGTGTGGACCATATATCTTTACAGGAGGTGGGGGGTATTGTGTGTGTGTGTATAAAAAAAGTGCTATGTGTTGTCATCAGTGTGTGTTTTCATACAAAGATGAAACTGTCTCTCTGCATTTAACCCATCGCACCTGGAATACACCCAGGTGGAGCAGTGGGCAGCTATGTAAGCACCCGGGGAGCAATTCGGGATTAGGTGTCCTGCTCAGAGACACCACGAGATGTGCAATGATCGGGGGTCGACCTTCGGGTCCTGAGTCGGCTGCCCTGCCCCTGCACCATCTCCGCCCCTACATATATATCCCCGTTACAAATATATATATATATATATATATATATATATATATATAGTATACACAATTATCTTGTTTTATACTTCAGGTTCAAACAGTAAATATAATTATATATTGATTGGGCAGGTTTTTGTGTGATGTGGTGGTTTAAACAGATTTTTGGACAGAAAAGCTCGGCTCTATCTGGCAACACTGCCACAGACTTCTTGATCTCTTGCAGCAGTTTGTGTCAGGCTGACCTCCTCTGGGTAAAAGTAGCAGATTCCCTCTCTTGTAGGATCACCTTCTCCTCTGACCTTAGATCCATCATAGAGGAAGAAATAACTGCACCTGCAACACCAACAGGAGTCAGAAAACTTTCATATTTACGTTTCGTTTTTTACAATGTGTCCCACCTCCTCCTCCTCCTCGTGTGTGTCCCAACAAACTGCAGTCAGATCGTACCTTCTTGAGTCCAGCGGCGTGAGATGAGCCATAAGTTACACTGCATCCATGTATTTCCGCTCCGACAAAAACTCGCAGCAAAAACAAGAAATATATTTCAGCTTGGACACGGAGCGGCCGCTTTAGCGCCAAAACAAAACAAAAAAACTGCGACAACTCCGAGAAGTGTGACTAAAACCCAAACCTGGTGTTTATTTAGCGCCTGTCGTCACGAAGATAAAACACTTTATCAGTTTGTAACAACCGAAGAATGCAAGTTAGTCACAAGTAGAAGCAGTCATGTGAAAGTACGGTAAGCGACGAGGGTCAAACCAGTGCTGCGTTCAAGGGGCAGCTATTGACAGTTTGAGATTTGTCTTTTAAAAAGTTATTATTTTTAGTTTAAGTGCTTTGTTTTTTAAAGAAAATGTCTGTCTTTAAATTTCTGTATAATTGTTAAAGTGTCAATGTGTTATTTTACCGCGTGTGTAATTTCCTACAGTACTTGAAATGCTCAGAAATAAAGACATTTATGAAAACGCCAGATTAGAATAAAGCTGTTAGTGTTATTATGTGGAAAAAAGTACTCCCTGTGAAAAAAGTAACATTGAAACAAGTCAAATAAACATTGTTTAAATCTTGCTAGGTTTTATTCCACTGCTCCTCATTCTTGGCACAAAGTCAAGCTCATTCCCAGTGCAGGTTGGACTCTGTCTACCCTTGTCTCTGACCCTGTTTGTGGTTTTCATGGACAGGATCTCGAGGAACAGTCATGGAGAGGAGTGTCTAGTTTGGGAACCTCAGGGTCTCATCTCTGCTGCAGATGATGTGGTTCTGCTCGTGTCTTCAGGTCAAGACCTTCAGCGTGCACTGGGGATGATCACAGCCGAGTGTGAAGCAGCTGGAATGAGAGTCAGTTCCTGAAAGTCTCACGGTTCTTGTCCAGAAACAGGTGGAATGCCCCCTCCGGGTTGGGGAGAAGACTTTGCCTCAGGTGCAGGGGTTCAAGTATTTGAGTATCTAGTTCACGAGTGATGGTATGGAGCTGAATTTGGATCGACAGATTGGGGCCTCATGCTCAGTAATGAGAGTGTTGCTTCGGTCAGTCGTGGTGAAGAAAGAGCTGAGTCAAAAGGCAAAGCTCTTGATTTACTGATCTGTCTACGTTTTGACCCTCAGCTATGGTCATGAGGTTTGCATCATGACAGAAAGAACAAGATCCCAGATACAAATGGACAGAATGGACTTCAGCCGGGCTCAGCCTTGGAGATGTGGTGAGGTGCTCCGTCATTCGGACGACGCTTAGAGTAGAGCTGCTGCTCCTCCGCATCAAAAGGAGTCAGTTCAAGTTGTACGGGCATCTGATTTAGACGCCTCCCTTTAGAGGTTTTCCAGTTACTTCCCACATGAAGGAGGTTGTGGGGCAGACCCAGAGGTCGCTGGAGGGCTGATGTATCTTCTCTGGCTTTGTAATGTCTCGGGGTCCTCCAGAATGAGCTGGAAAGTGATGCTGGGGAGAGGGATGTCTGGGTTTGTTTCCTGGACCTGTTGTCTCCATGACCCGACTACGGGTAAGTGGTAGAAGATGGATGGATGGATGGATGGTCAGTAACAATATCAGCTTATTAATGTGTCTAAAGCTCTGCAAAGTTTACATTTCACCTCAGAGATATGAAAGTGTTTAGCTTCTTTCATGTGTCTTAAAAACCACCTGTCCATATAAAGACCATAATAATTCAAATTAGTTCATTTATAAAGAAACTTCACAACTCAAGTCCTGTCAGGGCAGTATCCAAATAAAAAAAAAATCAAGTTCAAATCCTAAATCTAATTCTGATCCAAATTTCAAACCAGTTACAGTCAATTCATTACAACACAGTGCGGTCAGATACTGCGCATTCTAAGGACAGAAAGTAAAAATTATTTATGGAAACCAGCAGATCGTCTTCACTTCGTCAAAACCCCCATCCTGAGCAGACAACAGTGGAAAGGAACAAAACCTCCAGAAGAACCAGAACCAGGCTCAGGATTGGTGGCCATCTACTGGATAAGTTTAGAGAGGACAGGAAAGAGACAAACACAGAAAAAATGGTCCAGCTGTAGTTTCTATGGGAAGAAAAACAAAGAGAAAACAATAATGACAGCAACAGTTAAATACATAACCATAGAGCACAGAGTAAAGCGAGCAGCAGAGTAAGGAATGTCTTCCTGCTGTCGCAGCCGATAGCAGCAGAACTAAAGTATAGCTCAGGAAACCAAACCAACCCTAACTATAGGATTTACAATAAAAGAAAGTTGTAAAAGTAGACAATGGCAGCCTCACAGACAGAAACTGGAAGTTGTTCCAACAACAGAACCATGAGAATGTCTCCACTCCAGTCAGTTACAGAGATGGAGCTAAAACTAGGAGTGGTATAGCTGAGACTGACCCCCAACACTTATTCCGTTTAAACTGTTGCCATTAAATAATGAACTAAAATATCCAAAAGCTCTATCTCCCATTAGACCTGTCGCAATAAACAATAAATCTATTAATCGCATGATAAATTAAAATTATCAACCTCATTTTCATTTATCAGCTTTATTGTTTCTTCGTGTCTCTCTTTCTACTGAAGACACTGGATGACAAAAAGTTCAACTCCGGTGTTCTTCACTGACCCCTCCTTTTCTCTTTTCTCTTTAAAATCCGTTTTAACCAAAATCACGTTTTTGGATCGTTAAAGCAGCTAAGCTAAGAAGCTAAGCTAACAGGCCAACCTCGGGGAAAAAAAAAAACATCCGTCTTGTCGAAGCTCCAAAATTCATGGTTGAAACCCGTGCCTTCATGTAAAACGTTGTTTTTCCTGTGAAAAAAAAGATGAGAACTTGTTTACTGATTTTTTATTTAATTTAAAGCTTTGTGTGAAAAATGCTATGCTAAAGAGCTCCAACCGCAGAGAGCGTCTGCCATTTTGAGAACCGGAGAAAAAGGAAGGAGAGACAGCCCATGTGTTGAGGAGCCTCCCTTCCATTTTTCTTAAAGAGATACGCTGCTCGCTCCCTCACTATCCATCCTTCAGTTCAAACAGTCTTTTACTGTCACCCTGTGGTCGAAAAAGGTACTACACACAAAACAAATTAAACATTTCTTCTTAAATTTGACAATAATGACTAATTATTGTCAAATTTCAAACAATATTATCGTTTATCGCAATAATTTCTGAGACAATTTATCGCCCAGCAAAATGTGGTATTGTGACAGGCCTACCTCCCATTCCACTTTTAAAACTCTAGGAACCACAAACAAACCTGCAGTGCTCTGTTGGGAAAACATGGAACGGTCTTGTTACTTGAGGTCATATGTGTCAATCTCAAGGCCCGGGGGCCAAATGTGGCCCTCGTTGACATCTTATCTGGCCACCCAGATGTTATTTTAAATGTAAAATACTTTGAGCACTTTAATTTTTTTAGTAATCTTTGATTATGATGTCAAAAGTGTGACAGAGAACATCAAATGAGACCAATCAAACTCTTGTTGAAAAACCTGCAGCCAAGAAAAGATGCTGGGTATTTGACTTGAGTTCTTTCTGAAACTGGCCCTTAGTTTGAAAAAGGTTTTAATTTTGTCTCTCTTTGTAAGTGAGTTCGACACCGCTGCTTTAGAGGGTTCTTGTGAAAATATGAAGTCCTGTCAAAGCAAAATGTTTCTGGAGGAGGCCTGGGGTACCACCATGAGATGTGATGCGCCCACAGAGTGATGCTGAAGGTTCAACATAAAATATAATTCATGCAGACACACCACGAGCAGGTTTCGATAAACCTTTACTAAATGATAACTTTAGTTGCAGCTATCTCTTATGAGCTGCATCAAATCTAAACTTAAACGAGAAGCACAATCAGTTTGTATCATCATCAGCGTCGTTTAAAGTCTTTCAGATCGTTGTTTCGGTGCTCGATTGAGCGCGCCTGCAGGAGCGGGACGTGAACGCGCTCAGTCTGATGGCTTCAGCTCTGTCCTCTGCGCGAGACAGAGCCGCAGCAGCAGACAGCGACTTTATTTCATTTTATTTCACTTTCTTTACCTGATGGAGCTCCTGAACGCTGCGCTCCTGGCAGCAGACCTGCGGGCTGGGGGGTGTCCGGGCCTCCCCACACCCCCCAGCCCCGAGGACGCGCAGTGCGCGGAGGGATTTAAGACCCAGACACCTGTCTGTCAGAATAATCTATTGATTATTAACATTTTTAACAAACGACGGAGCAAAACAAATCACTTTTAAAATCTAACAACTAATGCTGGGATGTGTCTTTATCTTTTTGTTTGTTTTATAAAGCAGATGCCGAGCAATTTTATTTTTATTGCTCCAAAGAAGTCACAGTATTTTAAACAAACTATTCTTTATTCATAAGTTAATTCCAAAATTCATGACCTAAAACAAATACACAACGATTCCAGCTACAGCAACTTAAATAAATTAATTACAAGAAGAAACGGCCTCAGTTCAATTTAAATAGGACTAAAAACACCTGAAACAGGCTGATAAAGAGGTGATTTAATATAAAATTAGGTTTTAAAACCAGGTCTTAAATAAAAAAAAAGCAAAGTTGTGCAGAATGTGCTGCTGTTTAAATAAGTAAATAATTTAAAAATGTACATCTACAGTATTTATCAAGACAAACAGCAGCTTCTGCATGAATGCTGCCCTCACGTCACCTGCAACTTCACACCTGTTCACTAAAGTGGAGTCAGTGTAACGCAGGCGAAACTCAACCATCCCCACTTCAAACAGGGCCCTGAAACACCTCAAGGTCAGCGCCACATAAATTAACTATCTCCTAAAAGTGCACCCAAGTGAAAAAGAAATGGTTCCTATGAACTCTGCTGTCTACTCGTCTGAAATCAAGAGGGCGGAGGCGTTTCACAACTGCAGCTCGGTAAAATTCAAGTAAAGCTGCAGAATGGAACGTGAAACGCGGTGGAGTGGTGGAGCATCAGAGCGTCACTCTGCTGCAGATCACCGTCTTTAAAACAGGAGCTCAAAACTGCTCACGGCTGAGAATGGGTCCTCATGAAGGTTTCATCTAATAACTTTTAGGGATGCACCATATTGGATTTTTGGTCGATATTCGATATGTTAAAACATTTGGCCGATAACTGATACCAATATTTTATATATTTTCCTTTGTCAGAACATATTCCTCTTATTTAGGCTTATTTGCTACAAAAATTGTGCAACAGCTGTAAGAGCTGGTGACATATTCAGTAACAGCCATATGATATGCATAGTGCTTTAACTTATATTAAATGAGAAGTGTTAAATATTATTTATTAGCATTAGTCACCTGCAACGCTGTCTCACTTGTGGAGGCTTGTTCCAGGTTCCTAGCTGCAGAGTGGGATCCTCTGCACTCCTGTCCATGAAGGACAGACTTTTGAACTTCAAAGTTTTTGTCTATTGTGCCGTAAGACTAATCATGCTAACGGAGCTAACACGAGGTCCAAACGTCTGTGGTAAAACTCCAAGCGCTATCAGCTATTTGCTTCTCAATGATGTCGGAAATGACGGCTTGTAACTCGGGTAAAGTTACGTCGGAAAAATATCTCAGACTGGGGACGTAGTCCATAAATCTTCAGAATCCGACATCCTCAACGAAAAAAACTTCCACACCGCCGACATTTAGAATTTTCCTCTGCGCTGCGATCAGATCAGGTAAAGGCGCGCGTGACGTCATCACGTTGAGCTGGTGCTGCAGGCGTCCTCGTCACTGGGTTCTCGTACAAGAACAGCATCTTTTATATCGGTGAGTTATTTTGACTGAACGGCCGATGTCCGATATTTAACTTTAACGCTAATATCGTCCGATACCGACACCATGCCGATAATATCGTGCATCCCTAACAACTTTAATTTGGAATATTGAGCTACGACGACCAAAACCGTTTTCTCATCTCTAGATCACAAACTCCACGGCCTCTGCTCTCATGACAGCTATAACGCTGCTGCACGTAGCACAATACTGACTCCAACATGTGGCTGCAAACCGGACCAGAGCAGAACTCTCCGCTTCGTGTGCACCGTGACGAAGATCGCACATCGGGCCTGGCGACAGGTGAAGGGATCCGTTTCCGCTGTTGTTTTGATCACGTGCTCCAATAAAAGTCACTTGAGGATCACATCAGCTGTTTGTCCAGTAGAAGGATTTCTTTTTCCAGCTTCTTCATTTTCAGAGCTCTGTACGCCATCTCTTGGTCGCGGTTTTCGATCTCCTTCTTCAGGTAGCTGCAGTAAAGAGCTCGCAGGTCTTCCGTCTGCTTCTGTAAAACCGACAAATAAACAACGGAGCCACTCTTAACGCGCTTCCTGTGTCGTTTTTACAGCCTGCGGTGCCGACTCGTGACTTTTACCTCTGTGCTTCTGACACCAGTCGGAGCTTCTGCAGAGCTGCCCGCCTCCTGGAAACTGCAGTTGTGAGCATCCTGAAACCAAGCAACACATTTCTTTAAAAGATTTGTCAGGTGTCCTAAAACAACCGGTTTTAAAAGAGGACGCCTTTTTACCCCTTCGAAATGAGCTTCACTGATGTCCGTCTCATCACCGCTCAGACTCTCTGGTTCCGTCTTTGTCACGGGCAGGAGCAGGACCGGGTGCCCCGACACTTTGACACCAGAAGGACAATATGAATAAGTTGACTTTTACATTTCAGGGCTACGTGTGGATCACAGACTTACTGCTCATAAAGGAGCTCTCCGACCCACTGATGGGGCCAATGCAGGCGCCTCCAGGTAGGACCTCCACTCTCATGGAGTTTTCTCTGCCGAGCAACACGTCGTCCTCTGCAGAATTCAGGGAGGGGGTTGCCGACCCCCCGTCGACCCTCATCGCCTCGGCCCTTTTCCTTTTTGCTGCTCGGGGACAAATTTGAGAGGAGGCGTTTGAGTTGTCACAGCGTTAGAAGCAGACGGTGGTGAAAACAGAGCAGACACAAAATGGTCAAGTAGTGATGGAAGGTCATCTCCAGCTAAACCTTCTGGTGTGATAAAAACTGGAAGCTACTCTTTGGCTGTGAGCTTATTTATTTATTTATTATTAACACTTATTTAACAGGCAAATCCCACTGAGATCACAGATCGGTTTTGCAGGGGAGGTCTGGACCTGAAGGCAGACTAACATGCATGTTTTTGATCTGTGGCAGGAAACCGGAGCACCCGGAGAAAACCCACGCATGCACGGAGAGAACATGCAAACTCCACCCAGAAAGACCCCATAGGTCCAACCGGGGATTGAACCCAAGACCTTCTTGCTGTGAGGCAACAGTGCTAACCACTGAGCTACCGTGCTGCCTAATTGGTGGTCTGCGATCATTCAGTGGGACAGGCTCACTGACAGATGATTCAGATCTTTAAGACCATAGAGCAGGGGTCTGCAACCTGCGGCTCTGGAGCCACATGCGGCTCTTTCAAGCTTTGACCAAAACTGACATCAAACTGAATTTTATTGGTTGTTATACAAACGACAACAAACGACTAGTTTTTGTTGTTTTCCTGTCATTTTCTTTTTTTGCAAATATGTGAACACTGGAACATGTATAAGGAGTAAAACGTACTCACTTTAACTTTATGCTTTATTTCTATACGTAATTAATTTTTCCACAATTAAAAAAATTCATAGGTCTGCATAGTTCAGTTTTTATTAATTAGAAAACTACTTACAAGAATCTGGTCTTTTCATTTGTCTTGCATTGTAAAAATATAAATTAGATATTTTTATCTTTATAATGTCACCCCCTAATGGCCACAAAAGTCTCCTCCAACAAACCTAAAGTGGCCCATGGGCCACCAGTTGATAATCACAGTTGTAGCCGGTTGTTGCAGCTCTGATCACTTTTAATTTAGTGAACGAAGTGTAAAATGGCTCTTTTGATCGTAAAGGTTGCAGACCCCTGCCATAGACGATGTGGGACGGCCATCAAGCAGTGTCAGAAATGTTCTGGGCAAGACGAGAGCAGTGATTGTTGCTGCATTCCACATCTTTTTCCCAGGTTGCCATCAACATCCGAGTATCTCGAGCTCACGTTTACTGATGTAAAATCTGGCTTTAGTCCTGTTTATTCCCTCGCACACAATCACAGACTCACGTGGCCTTTCTTGTAGGTGTAACATAATTAATTACAGCTATACATCATAGAAAAATGATTAATTAAACAACAGCAGCAAGAAAAAAAACTGTGAATCAACACGATTCAGCAGCTTAAAAATATTAACTGAGATGTGTAATTTCATTTTACCAAGAACCATGTTACAATGATTACAGCTGACTGGGCAGTCCGTCTTGTTCCAGCTTCAACTTCCAGGTTGTGGTTGTGTCTTTAGATATATGTAGTTATTAAAATAAAATAAAAAACCTGCAGGACAGGAGTCCTTTCAGTGTAAGATACCTGTTTGGATTATGTTTTTGTGCTTGACTTTTACTTGCTGCCACGACCTTTTATAGCCACTGTCCGAAACCCTGTGAATCATAAAAACAAGTTTGAGCATTTCATGTTGCCATACATTGTAACATGCGCGTCTCGCGATGTGTACGGAGACAAAAATGACGACATACAACAGTTTTATAAATAAACTTTGTTAGGGATGATCAGTCAAATAAGCCACAATTTTTCTTACGCATTTATTTTATCAGCGATCCTCTGCCAGGCCTCCTCTCTCAGTTTGGAGGCACTGGTGGTGTTTGATTTAGCTGTGAGGATCTCCTTTTCTTCTTCATACAACTTCAGAATGAGGTCCTGCTCCTTAGAGCTGAAGAAGTGAGCCCTCTCCTGTTTTCTGATTAACTGGAAATCTACAAACACAACAACAAGCTGCGTCTCATCAAACAGTTCATGTTTGTTGATATTATTATTATATATGGTGCTGGTCTGACCGAGGTCTCCTCACCTCTGTCTGGGTTCATCATCATCATCATCGTGATCCAAGTTTCCGGGTTCGACTGCTCTCCCCTTTGTATGGCGGCGCGAGCGCGCGCAGTTATCCGAGATGTTTCAATGCTAGATTTACTAATCAAATCGTGACCCAGCGCCGTGGAACCGAGCGGAACCGAGCCTGGTCGACGCGACGGTCGGACACAGCACCGGTTACGTCACCGACAGCCTCCAAGCGACGGAGACGAAGACAGGACCGCCGCCGCCATTAGCAGGATATCGAGGGGCTTTGTTAACCCTGGATTTTCTAATTCGGCTTAAAGCGCGTTCACGTGACAGAGGCGGAGTCTGCAACAAAGACGGAGCCGGACGTAACAAAAGCGTCACCTCGTACCCGACTGGAATGAAGCGCTTTGGAGCTTTATGAAATTTATAAATGCACAAACAAGGACTATATATGACCAGCGATGCCATTTACAACTGCGCTGTTGCCATGGTTACCCTCTTGGGATGCCCTGATGGGTGAAGTTGCCAGGTGTTCTCCATGACCAGGGTTCTGTTTCAGTCACCTGAGGCCTGCTGACACAACCCCAGGCTCTTTCTGATTCAAGTAACTGGAGACCAATTAGGGAGTAAAGAGCTACAACCACTTTTTTATAGAATAAAAATCTTAAGTTTGTGCAGTTTTATTAATACGGATGGTTTTATACAGGAAAATAGCTCATTTAAGGCTCCGCACACAGATGTTCAATATTATTCTGGTTAATCTTCTGCATAATAAAGCCCTTACAACTATAACCAGACTAAAGTGAACATAAAATCAGACGTTCAAAGATTCAGGGCTTGCTTGTTAGTGACTAAACGTCTGACAAAAATAATTTTTTTATTAAAAAAGTGGATGAAAAACCTGGCACAGTCACAAACCTTCAAAACAACAGAAAAAACATCTGTGTAGTTTCAGATAATTTATTTATTTCCGTTTAAGTGGACATTTTGTTTAATGGTCCAGAACAATGGAATTATTGGTTCAGGCGCCCTGCGTTGACAGCACAGAGGTAAACACAATAAAACGAGACTGCGTCATCTGTGGTCAGGGTTGTGGTCCAGTAACAAACGCTGAGGGAGGTACGGAGCCAGTCAAGTCTGCAGGATTTAGTCATCGTGCCCCTCATATCCACTAGGAAGGGCATTCACATGTGGGTTGTGGAAAAGGCTTTTGTTCCCATCTCCCCAGGGGAAACGCTTCACAAAAGGAAAACAAATACACAAAAAACAGCTTTAGGTCAAAAACACCTAAAAATCTGGTATTTTAGACGATCAATAAATGTGTGAAGTGTCAGACCTTGGTACGGATGCGAAGGTGGCTGTAAGGAACAAAGTCTGGCTGTGCGTCGTGGCTGTGTTCGCTCCCCTTCAAGAACATGTTCAACATGCACACGCCAACACCGGGCAGGGCGACCACAAATGTCAGGATCTTCCATGTTTTAGCTGTGTACATGAGTAAGTTTAAGAAGTTAATTAGAATTACACTCATTACATGACAACAGAATTTGCTTACAATTATAAACACCTAAAATCACACTTATTAGGAGAAATCTCGTTTCCCCACTTCAGTATACCTTTAAATGGTCTTTTTCACAAATGCAATATTTACACAGTAATACCAAACTGCCAAGAGACTACAACTTTTATAAAAAATATTATTTTTCAATTTTATTTTGTTTTTAGTAGAGGTTACACTGAGGATTTATGATTTAATGTATACTTCAAAGGCAGCACGGTGGTGCAACTGGTAGAGCTGCTGCCTCTCAGCGAGCAGGTCCCTGGTTCAAATCCTGGTCCAGGGTCCTTTCTGGGTGGAGTTTGCATGTTCTCTCCGTGCATGCGTGGGTTTTCTCCGGGTACTCCAGTTTCCTCCCACAGACTAAAAACATGCATGTTAGGCTGATTGGTGACTCTAAATTGTCTCTAGGTGTGAGTGAGAGAGTGAATGGTTGTTTGTCTCTATGTGTCCCTGTTATGGACTGGAGACCCGTCCAGGGTGTCCCCCGCCCCTCACACAGTGATTGCTGGACATGGGCACTGGCGACCCCCGTGACCCAAAATGGAAGAAGCAAGTAAGCGATAATGATGGGATGGATGTATACTTAAAAGTGCTATTTCAAAATTCTGTATTTTAAATAGGGATGCACCAATCCACTTTTTTTTTTTTTTTTTTTTACTTCTGATCCGATCCCGATACCTAAATCTGAATATTGGCCGATACCGATCCAGTTCCGATATCATCATCATCGATTTTATATGAGGCTGTAATAATCTCCTCTCATACAATTTGTACAAATATATGCATGCATGTCCAAAAAGGCAACTTGAGGTAAGTTTTATTAATGTTGGATAAGTTTTAAAGTTGGAATTAAATTCTGCTAACACAAAACACGTTTTTTATTCCTAGCTTTAAAGTGGATATTAAAGTGACAAAGTTTGTTTGTTTTTTTTAATAAGGGAGAGATATGACTTTTTTTTTTTTCTGCACTCTTTTCACTCAATGTTTTCTTTTTGATTCATTTTTTTTTTCTTTTAAATGAATGAACAAAATTAATTAAATAAAATATTAAATGGCTTTAAACATCTGCTAAGTTCATGGCATAAACCAATAGACATGTTCTGTTTTTAGTTATTTACATCACTTTATAATGTAGCTGGTTTTGTTTTTATATATTTATAATTTTCTTGTAATTTTCAAATAATGTTTTTTATGATTGTTTACTGTTGTACTGATAAATATCTCCTGGAGGGTAAACTATATGTTGGCTGCTAGTATCAAGCTGAGAAATACTTCGTTTTCTACAACCGATAGAGGTTGGTCATTAATTATGATGAAGTTTAGTAACTTCTCTGTAAACATTTGAGCTCCGGGGCTTCAGCGACGTCTTCTTCTTGTTCAGTCCGTAGCAGGCAGCCTGATTTCAGTCAGCCGTGCTCAGTCTGTCCCTCCTCAGAGACGGGCAGACTGAGCACGGCTGGTCGGGCTGCCTGCTACGGGTTCGGCGAGAGGAGCAGACCTCTGAAGCCCTGGAGCTCGAATGTCCATCGTAAAATAAACTAACTTCACCGCGGTTTAATGTGGTGCTATGGCTCTGCAGACATTGCACGTTGCTGTCTTGCTTTGTGGTGTTTCTAATGTAAAATACTTCCACACAGCGGACATGTTTTGATGAAAAGTTTGTTAGCTGTTAGCCACAGTGCTGCTAACTCAGCCCTCACGTTGTAGCTGGCTGCAAACTATGAAATGGATTTCCTGAATGTGAGGCGGGTCTTATTACTCTGGATTCATGAGACACGAAATCCATTCCGTATTTTGAAGCCAACTTGCAGAGCAGCTGGCAGGGAATCACATGAGAAGTTTTAACAGACATGCATCATGGATCAGAAATCTCTGCAGGATGGATTAGAAAAATTCAATACGTAAATTATGCTGATACCGGAGGCCGATAACGTATCAGCCCCGTCCCTCATTTTAAATATAAGTTAAAGAAAATCAGTCAGCCATCAGGAAATCCCATAAATTGCCTTGGATCGATGCACAGTGTAACTTTTCATCATCTTAAAATAACCATTTTCCCACAAAGGTCAAATTATTATTATTATTTTTGCCTTTTTCATTGTCACATGACATGTTACATGTCAACATGAATACTTTCAGTCTACAGGTCCTTCTCAAAAAATTAGCATATTGTGATAAAGGTCGTTATTTTCCATAATGTAATGATAAAAATGAAACTTTCATATATTTCAGATTCATTGCACACCAACTGAAATATTTCAGGTCTTTAATTGTTTTAATACTGATGATTATGGCATACAGCTCATGAAAACCCAAAATGTCTGTCCCAAAAAATTAGCATATTTCATCCCTCCAATGAAAGACAAGTGTTTTTAATACAAAAAACACCAACCTTCAAATAATCATGTTCAGTTATGCACTCAATACTTGGTCAGGAATCCTTTTGCATGAATGACTGCTTCAATGTGGCGTGGCATGGAGGCAATCAGCCTGTGGCACTGCTGAGGTGTTATGGAGGCCCAGGATGCTTCGATAGCGGCCTTAAGCTCATTCAGAGTGTTGGGTCTTGCGTCTTTCAACTTTCTCTTCACAATATCCCACAGGTTCTCTATGGGGTTCAGGTCAGGAGAGTTGGCAGGCCAATTGAGCACAGTAATACCATGGTCAGTAAACCATTTACCAGTGGTTTTGGCACTGTGAGCAGGTGCCAGGTTGTGCTGAAAAATGAAATCTTCATCTCCATAAAGCTTTTCAGCAGATGGAAGCATGAAGTGCTCCAAAATCTCCTGATAGCTAGCTGCAGTGACCCTGCACTTGATAAAACACAGTGGACCAACACCAGCAGCTGACATGACACCCCAGACCATCACTGATTGTGGGTGATTCACACTGGACTTCAGGCATTTTGGCATTTCCTTCTCCCCAGTCTTCCTCCAGACTCTGGCACCTTGATTTCCGAATGACATGCAAAATTTGCTTTCATCCGAAAAAAGTACTTTGGACCACTGAGCAACAGTCCAGTGCTGCTTCTCTGTAGCCCAGGTCAGGTGCTTCTGCCGCTGTTTCTGGTTCAAAAGTGGCTTGACCTGGGGAATGCAGCACCTGTAGCCCATTTCCTGCACACGCCTGTGCACGGTGGCTCTGGATGTTTCTACTCCAGACTCAGTCCACTGCTTCCGCAGGTCCCCCAAGGTCTGGAATCAGCCCTTCTCCACAATCCTCCTCAGGGTCCGGTCACCTCTTCTCGTTGTGCAGCGTTTTCTGCCACACTTTTCCCTTCCCACAGACTTCCCACTGAGGTGCCTTGATACAGCACTCTGGGAACAGCCTATTCATTCAGCAATTTCTTTCTGTGTCTTACCCTCTTGCTTGAGGGTGTCAATGATGGCCTTCTGGACAGCAGTCAGGTCGGCAGTCTTACCCATGATTGTGGTTTTGAGTAATGAACAAGGCTGGGAGTTTTTAAAAGCCTCAGGAATCTTTTGCAGGTGTTTAGAGTTACGTCGTTGATTCAGATGGTTAGGTTAATAGCTTGTTTAGAGAACCTTTTCATGATATGCTAATTTTTTGGGACAGGCATTTTGGGTTTTCATGAGCTGTATGCCATAATCATCAGTATTAAAACAATTAAAGACCTGAAATATTTCAGTTGGTGTGCAATGAATCTGAAATATATGAAAGTTTCATTTTTATCATTACATTATGGAAAATAATGACCTTTATCACAATATGCTAATTTTTTGAGAAGGACCTGTACAGTAAAGATAAATTGGATCACTTGCTGCAATTAAATACTTTAATGATAACATATACAATCTTAGGGTCTTAAACTTTTTATCTTTTATTTAAAAATATTTTATTAAAACCTGATGATGCCAACATGCATATTATTCTGGGTGCTGACTCGGCTGTAATCTTGGTTCCAACCACTGAATTTATGATTTTCTTACTGGCAGGGCCACGTCTTCAACTACAGCCAGCTGTTATGGTGGGTTTTTTTTTGTACTTTACCAAAAACTTAAAAAAGAATATTATGTTCAATTTGAGAGATAACCAGGCATTAATTTAGGACATTATAGCTCCAACAAAAGTTGCTTGGTTTTCCTGAAAGTGTAAAAAAAAAAAACTTAACATCCAATAGACCTTTACCTTTTTGATTCCTGAGCACACCCCCCCCCCCCCCCCTGCAACGGTAATGGCTATATATCTGCTGTAACCTCAACCTTTGGGTGTATTTAGTTAAGAAAACTGAATATTAGTCTAACCACCGAAGCTTCAGCACATTTATCAGTGACCATTCGCTCAAAGTTTCATTGTACTCTAAAAATATTAGGGACATTATTATTATATGAATGCAATGACTTCCTGGCATCATCTGCAAGTTATTTTAAAACTCTTGCATCAAAACACTTTGTTTCAGCATAAAACTTAATTTTGTTAGCAGACTTTTTTGTGTTTCTGCTAGAAACCTTTAAAATAATTTATCTCCTTGCTCTTGCACCAGTTTGTCCCCTTCACCTTAGCTGATATCAATTTGCCTTCACTGCTGTTGCTAATAATTAGCTCGCTTTGTAGCTAATTTCTGAACGTCTTCTCCGCTTTACAAACAAATAAATTAGTATCAGGAAAGCTCTCAACACAAGTAGAAGTTTTTCTTGGTGACTGACTTGAACCTTTACGATTAGGCTGTGTTTTTAAGTCAAAGGTTAAGTGTAAAGACATGCCTACGTGCTGTCACTCGAGGAAGTACAGGACAGGAGCTAACGCTAGCTGAGCAAGGTCACATTCAAGCGATAATAATTTGTTCCACAGTTGAATTCAATATAATTCAACAATTAAAATGAAATTAGCTTTAACGCCTACCAGAGTCCGCCTCATGTGAGTCAACAAAAGCGGAAAGCTGACGCCTGGTTCGGGTCAAAGAAGACCTCCGCAACATTTGAGAGAAACGTCCGAACGCCGCCATCTTGCTTTCTCGTGGAGCTTCTTCTTCTACGTTTTTATTGCAGTTGGTAAACAACGGAAGGTGCGCTTTACCGCCACCTACTGATATGGAGTGTGGATTAAAACTATTCATGCTCGTGTTATAAAGTTACAAACTTTGTTTAAAAAAAAAAAAAATCAATTTAACTATTTTTACCTTTTTGTTTGCAATATGTTTGTTATATTAAATAAAACCAATACGTATTAAATAAAACCAATCCAGTTGTTTTCTTGTTTTTAGTTTTTTACACCACCCTACAACCTAGCTGTTTTTTTGTTACTTTTCCTTTTAAATACCATTTCATTTTCACTTGTTAAAAAATTAATGATCAAATTGTATGCATTATTTGATTGATTGCAATCCTTGATTGTCTATTGTTGTAGTTGTTGTCCACTGTTGTCATCGCTCTTTGTTAAAACCAGGTCTCGCTTGTAAATGAGTCCCCGAGGCTCAATGAGATTAACCTGTACAAATAAAGATTGAATGTATTGTTTGATGTTTCCTAATTCTTCAATTGTACATCTTCTGTGTTGTTCTTTGGGATACCAAAATGACTTGTTCTATGGTTTCCTCTTGTCCACAGTGCTCACCTTGTCCTGTATTATGTTTTTAGACTCTGTATAATGAAATGTTAAGTCAAGTGCGTTCAAATCTTAAGTCTAGTTATGAATATTTCTTCTCTTTTGTCCCTCACTCCTGTTCTCATTTCTCCCACTTGTTTCTGAATTCTGTAAAACCATCTTCCTTTGCTGTTTTCCTCCCATTGTTTTTGTCATTGTCCCTTCAGTTTTTGTTTCACGATGATTCTTACTTTTGATTTTCTTGCTGCCCTGCTCGTCATTTCCCATGATCCTTATGTGGCCCTGCGACATTTGTTATTCTGAACAATGTTTGTTGTATTTCTAATAAAATAATCTAGTAAAATTTGATCGGTTATCTGACTGACTATTCTGCAAAGTGATGAGTGTTGCACTTGAGTCTGACCAGATGATTGTTTTTAACAGTTGTGTGTCTCACTGCACTGCCAACATCTCCCCTGTGGATACTAATACTCCATTTGAGGTTCTTTTTCTTACTGCTATATGGAATTCTGGTATTATATATGTCACTTTCTCTGATGATGTTTATGATGTGTCTGCATGAATCTGTAGTTTCTGATACTGTCCTGTGCTGTATATGAATTAAAAAAATGAATATTTTGTATTTTTTCCAGTCCATGAGTGTCGTGTCAACAGTTGCGTTTGGAAGAAACTAAAAAATAAATAAAATACACAACAGCACAGCTAGGGTAAAAAAAAAAAAAAAAAAAAAAAAAAAACCTACAAGACTTGAAAAACAAAATGTTTTGAAGCAAGACAACCAAAGCTGGGATGTTTCGCAGCTAATAAGCACCATCACCACAAAACCTTTGACATTTTTCAGTGTATGATCAGTACAAACATCTCATCCAGCAGTGGTGGAGGACTTGATGATATGAGCTTGTTTTGCAGCCACAAACAAAAAAAAAAAAAATCAAACATTGAGTGAACTGCTCTGATTACCAAAAACCTTTGAGTCAAAGGTGAGATCTTCTGGCTGACTGATAAAGATAGGCCTAAAATGAAAAATAAAATGTCTGCTGTAACTACATATTTACATATATACATACATACATATACATATATAC